TGTTACAATATGAAGTCGTTCTAGAAAGAAAAAAAGGGGTAATTTTGACTTATTTAAATTTTTTTTTTTTGGTGGTTACAAGATCGGTTGAATTGACCGATTCCATTTTGAGAGAGGGTAGGGAAAACAATGGATAAACTATAAAGTTTTACTAAAAAAGAAACAGCTGAAATGCATTTAGGAGGTTTTAGGGATTACACAATAGAAATTTGAGATGAGGAAAAATATTTTTAATTTTAACATGAAAATCACTTTGCACACATACTATTCGAAACAAATACTCATTATATTCATGTAGAAATCTTTATTTTATTAAAAATACTTCCCTAAAAATACGATTTTTTGTATGTGAAAAACTGCCAAATTCTGTGAAGATATACACACTATATTGAAAGTTAGAAGCATTAAATCTATAAAGACTTTAAATGAGTACAAAGAAGTCACATGGTTGGTCAAATTGACCAAGCCCATACTGAGAGAGTGGTACACGAGATATACATACTACACTGAAAGTTAGAAGCATTAAATCTATAAAGACTTTCAATGAGTACATAGAGGTCACATGGTTGGTCAAATTGACCCATATTGAAAGAGTGGTATACAAGCCTGAAAAGTTTGAGAATCACCATTCTAGAATATTCAATAGCTTCATCCCCAATAATTCTACGTTTATAGTTAGACAGTGTTAACTATATTTAAAGAGGTTAGCAAGCTTATAGAGCTCTTTTAGTTGTTCTTTTTAAGTACAAGGTAACTATCAAGTTAGAACTCACTATATTACAAACATAACGCAATAAAGTAAAAAAGAGAGAAGAAATATAGGAAAAGACTAGATTTAGAAAACTGAATACAGGAATAAACTATGTAATGGATCATGCATATTTGATGAGAAACAATAAAACTTGGTGCTATAAAAAAAAAATTCATTGATATTTGAATAAAAATTCTTGAGTTTGCAATGAAAAATTACCAATTTTGAAGAGAATACAACATTTTGAATAATAAAAAAAATATTTCTTAGCTGTAAACTAATTTGAAATCAGTAACTCTCTAGATAATGAATTTCACGTTTTGGTCATGACTTGAGCCCACTAAATATACTGAAATCATTAACATTATGGATACAGAAAATCTTTCACCCTGAACAAATGTTCTGAACCCACAAAACAGTCATGAAATTTACCCACAGCATTACATTACCTACTAATACTAAGTCACGTGGTCATGACTCATGAAATTTACCCACAGCATTACCTACTAATCCTAAGTCACGTGGTCATGACCCATGAAATTTACCCACAGCATTACCTACTAATCCTAAGTCACGTGGTCATGACCCATGAAAGTTACCCACAGCATTACCTACTAATCCTAAGTCACGTGGTCATGACCCATGAATGTTACCCACAGCATTACCTACTAATCCTAAGTCACGTGGTCATGACCCATGAAAGTTACCCACAGCATTAACCACCATTCCTAAATCAAATATGTGACCATAAAACTTACAGCATCATCTACCAAACCCAAGTCTGTGGTGATGATATTCAGAATGTAAGTTTGTTAATGAACACCCAAATCACTTGGTCATTAACAATACAATTTAAAGTAAGCACTTAATAAAAATCAAATCTTATAAAATTAGCTATCAAATCGACGATAACGCCTACAAAAAAAAAAAAAAATGTCAACTGTAAATGTTTAATGAAGAAATGTGCCCATTTTATAAAAATTGGTAATAACAATTGTATGTTTCTTTAAAAGCAAATAATAATTTTAATAATTAATTTAATGATAAGTTTCCAGGCAGGTTTCAAAAATAAATAAACTACAACCCAAAATAATTTCGTAAAACCTAAGAGTACATTAACAAGTTACTGTACGTTAAGAAACTGTGGGAAAGTATAGCAAATAAGAATATACTAGAAATTTAAGGAAACGAAATTAACAACGGAAAGCATTTCTGTACAAAGTAAATGCATGCAATGCCAAAAAAAAGAAAAAGAAAGGTTAGTTGGTTATTTACATGTACAAAGGAGAGCCATAAATATTCACACATATTAACTCTTTGCAACATAGTTGTGCAGACAAAATCTGTTAAATATTCAGACTCCAGTCTCTTTCAAATGTCATTTTAACTTATTTTTACAGTTATTGGCAGATGTTTATTATATTTTAAATAAATTCCTTTTAATCACAACATCATGCAAAGAAATTGTTACTTTTAAGACACAATATTTTATCCTTTATGAGAATTCCCAAGCATAGACTCAAGGGGATATAGATTACAACATATTTGGTTCACTAGTTTCCAAACACCTTGGTCTCATCTTCATATTTTTTTTCAACCTAAAGTAAACATTAAACACAGAGCAACTTAAAGGTTTGACTGGAAGCAAGGAATACAAGAAATTGGAGAAAAAAAGAATTATACCTATTGCAAAGCCACAAGCCCAGCACAAAAGAAAAAGCAATTATTTCAAGCATACAGTTGAGGGTTGTCAAGACACTGTATTCTATACAACTTACCAAACATCTTAACCATGGGTGACGTAGGTGTCTCAACATCATATCGTAGATCAATTATTATTCGTCTGGTTTTCCTTTTGTCTTTTTTCATCATCCCCTCCTTCTGCTTCAATTCACTTTCCTCACCATCCACTGCATCAGTAGGCACGTTGTCAACCTGAGAGGCACATCGTTTAATATTTTTTAGGGGGTTCTGCTTCCAAAGACTTTTACCCCTTTTCATCTGAGAACCCTTTTGTTCTTGACTTTCTGCTTTACTTTCTGCATCAACGGCTCCATTGCATGTATCCCGCATTGACGAGTTCTTGTTTTCCAAGCTACAATAACCGCTCACGATATCGACATAGAAAACACTTTGTTCACCCAATGGAGAAGATGCAGTAACACATGCTGGCTGGTGATTTTGTAAACCCGTTTCGTGCTTTTGTTCCACATTATTCTGACAAACAGCATCTAATTCTGGAGATTCTATTACTTCATTATTTTCAATGTCTCTTTCTTCACCAGCTTTACAAGACTTAGGACCAGTGTTTTGAAGTTTTTTAGTTTTCCTTCTAGGAGGCCTCACTGGCCTTGCATTATCACTTGAATTTACAACCTCGGAGCTAATATTATCACACTGTGACGAGTGGCTAGAACTTACCGCGTGACTAGATGAGGTGGACTGAGAAAAAGTTAAATGGGGTTCTGCTGTCACTACAGGGCCAGCTAGCTGCAAAACATAAACCAGAACACTACATAATTACATGCAGGATCAACTAAATCACATGCTGCATAGAAGTCTTTAAAAGATAAAAAAAAACACTTCTAACCAAGGAATAAGGTCATAAAAAAACAGACCTCGGGTGTCAAGAAGATTTAAAAAAAAAAGAGAGAGAAAGAGAGAAAAGAAGTTTTAATTTGTTTGGAGGGAAGTGGGTACAAAATCCCCTTGAACCTATTCTGGTTATAATATTAGCTAACGTTCTTCACCTTAGTAAATTAAAATATAAGCAGTCGTACCTGGTCAGATGTGGGCGAACGACATCTGTCTTGTTCTAAAGATCCGTTATCATTCATAGATGTTACGGGATTTTTCTTCGGTGAACGAGGAACCCTTTGATAGGGATCTGATGAACCTGCAGCATACAAGTGATGCTAAATGACTTAAACACAAATTACGTGCGGGAGCATCTATAACAGATTAACACTTCTCCACCTACTTTATTCTCATAAACATTGAAGCCATATAAACAAAATCATGCACAACTTTTTTTTTTTTTTTTTTTTTTTTACACATTTCTCGAAACACATACATCTAAATCCACAACTTAATGATGGTCTAATTAATGTCATTTATAGACGATTTTACTAACACCGATGGTTCAGTACTGTTAAGGTACTTTTGGTTTCTTAATTAACGTTTTCTACTTTTTAATTTATGATGGTCAAATTCCTGCTTACCATAGAGGTCTGGTGTCCCCATATTTAACAAGCAGATCCGCTGAACGATGTCAACTACAACCAAGCCACATTCATTTCCGTAGGCCATTCTGCACAACCAATTATGTATTGTACTATTTAACTTTACAAATATATTACAGAAACAATTATTATATACACAAAACATATTTGATCATTCAGTAAATAAATCAAATGTATCACTTTTTTCCTAATCAAGGACAGTTAGTTAAGTTTCTAGAGATATGGATATTATAATTACCATTTAAACTCTATAAGCATCATGAATATTCATCAAAATTCCTTGGTCTATATAATGATAGTATTTTTTTTTGTAATGTATGACAAATAACCGACTTTAGGCATCCTCAAAACTCAGAAATTCAAATAAAATTTAGAGATTATCATTACGGTGTTATAGTGTTACATAATAAAGTCGAACTTACAGGCCATATGAAGAGTTGACACTTAAGGCAGTGATACGACCAGGTGGTTCTCCATCAACCCAGGGCGTAAGACAAACTAACTCAGCTTGAAATCCAGCAGCCCTCTTCTGGGGGCCACTTTTCACTTTCAATGGCACATAATATTCTGCAGTTGGCTGCTACGGGGGTGAACAACGTGGGTCATAATAAATAAACAGCTAAAGAAAACTGACCACACTATAAAATAAAGGATCATCAGCACAATTATAACATTTACACAGCTGAAGCAAACTGACCACACAAATCATGAACATAATATTAACACATACAAAGTTGAAGTAAAATGACCACACAAATCATGAACATAATATTAACACATACAAAGTTGAAGTAAAACGACCACACAAATAAAGGATCATGAGCATAATATTAACAAATACAAAGCTGAAGTAAACTGACCAAACAAATAAAGGACCATGAGCATAATATTAGCAAATACAAAGCTGAAGCAAACTGACCACACAAATAAAGGACCATGAGCATAATATTAACAAATACAAAGCTGAAGCAAACTGACCACACAAATAAATGACCATAAGCATAATATTAACACATACAAAGCTCAAGGAAACTGACCACACAAATAAATGACCATGAGCATAATATTAACACATACAAAGCTCAAGGAAACTGACCACACTATAAAATAAGTACAGCTTAAGTTAAGTGAAGAACATTTCATG